TTCTGTGTCCCTGAGTAACGATTCTGTGTCCCTCAGTAACAATTCTGTGTCCCTGAGTAACAATTCTGTGTCCCTGAGTAACAATTCTGTGTCCCTAAGTAACGATTCTGTGTCCCTCAGTAACGATTCTGTGTCCCTGAGTAACAATTCTGTGTCCCTGAGTAACAATTCTGTGTCCCTGAGTAACGATTCTGTGTCCCTGAGTAAACAATTCTGTGTCCCTGAGTAACGATTCTGTGTCCCTGAGTAACAATTCTGTGTCCCTGAGTAACAATTCTGTGTCCCTGAGTAACGATTCTGTGTCCCTGAGTAACGATTCTGTGTCCCTGAGTAACAATTCTGTGTCTGTCCCTGAGTAACGATTCTGTGTCCCTGAGTAACGATTCTGTGTCCCTCAGTAACGATTCTGTGTCCCTCAGTAACGATTCTGTGTCCCTGAGTAACGATTCTGTGTCCCTGAGTAACGATTCTGTGTCCCTGAGTAACGATTCTTTGTCCCTGAGTAACGATTCTGTGTCCCTCAGTAACGATTCTGTGTCCCTCAGTAACGATTCTGTGTCCCTGAGTAACAATTCTGTGTCCCTGAGTAACGATTCTGTGTCCCTGAGTAACGATTCTGTGTCCCTGAGTAACAATTCTGTGTCCCTGAGTAACGATTCTGTGTCCCTGAGTAACGATTCTGTGTCCCTCAGTAACGATTCTGTGTCCCTGAGTAACGATTCTGTGTCCCTGAGTAACAATTCTGTGTCCCTCAGTAACGATTCTGTGTCCCTGAGTAACGATTCTGTGTCCCTGAGTAACAATTCTGTGTCCCTGAGTAACGATTCTGTGTCCCTGAGTAAACAATTCTGTGTCCCTGAGTAACGATTCTGTGTCCCTGAGTAACGATTCTGTGTCCCTCAGTAACGATTCTGTGTCCCTCAGTAACGATTCTGTGTCCCTGAGTAACAATTCTGTGTCCCTGAGTAACAATTCTCTGTCCCTGAGTAACGATTCTGTGTCCCTGAGTAACAATTCTGTGTCCCTGAGTAACAATTCTGTGTCTGTCCCTGTGTAACAATTCTGTGTCCCTGAGTAACAATTCTGTGTCCCTGAGTAACGATTCTGTGTCCCTGAGTAACGATTCTGTGGCCCTAAAGTCTCTGTGGCCCTAACTCTGTCCCTAATACAGACAGGTCTGTCTCTCTTGAATGACCGGAGGCTAATGGAGAATTCTAAGATGGCCGCGATTTATAGCTCCACCATTACACAGTGCTGGCTGGCTGGCTGCTGATTGGCTAATGCGATCACATGTCATGAATGAATGCATTATGGGTCAGCGCGCCTTGTCTGCGCGCCTCCCAGAGATCCCCGCTCCGTTGCCACACATGTCGCCGCTATTTTTGGGGAAAATTCGATTCGTGCATCCGAAGTTTGCTAATTTTCGGATTCGGCGCGAATCGAATTTTTCCTAATCTTCGAAACGAATTCCACTTCGTCATGTTCGATTCGCTCATCTCTACTCCTAACCATCACTGTATGCTATGTTGTTTTTTAAATATACCTACCCGTCATTTGATGCATAGGAAGTGAGTAGGTCAAGAAATTTCCTCTTTTGTACTTACAAGTGACAGAGGGGAGCAGAGGACCAGCATGAAAAAAAGCTTTGGGGAAAGTGCCCTGGAGAGCTCCATACTGAAGGTGAGCATTGCAGCCTGAGCTGCTTTTAAAAAATGGCTGAATGAAGAAAAACATAGCCCAGAGTTTTAACTTCTTTAACAGACTTTAACTTCTGTTCATCATCCAGCTGCTGCAGAGAAGCAGTTAATAGCGTGTTGTTCAAGGACAGAAGGCTGACCACAACAGGACATTTTTTATTCATGAAAATGTGTTAAAAACATCAGGCCTATTCTCCTATCAGAAGTTGAGTTGAACATTTTTTTTTTCGGCTGGGAAGGATAACAGAGCTTGTTGTACAGTACATGGTTTATTTTCTTTCACTGTTAGATAATCATAATGAAACCACACCGAGGAGTCTGGGCGTCCGAATTTAATTGACTGGTAGACGTTTTTCAGACAAGTATCACAGTAAATCTTAGTGTTTTCACAAAGGCAGACCGATGTCTTATGACCTCTTGCATGGCAAGAGGAAGTATTTAAATGATTACAATATGACATCTCTTTCCCTCTTCCTATGTCTGTCAAATCCAGGCTACATGGAAATGTTCAGCCTGCTCTGTGCTTCCTAATCCAACACTTATCTGCCTTGCGCTATGATCTGATGAAATGTGTTCCTGGAACCCTTGTATTTTACATGTTAGTTTATTGATAGTGTGTTGGGTTAGAAAATTGTCATCATGGGAGGTCCTGTGTGTCCTGTGCTTACATTTAATTCATAGGTGTAAGCAAAAGAAAAGAAATTACAGCAATCATAATAGTATTCTATAAAGAAGTCATTCAGCATGCAGTCCACAGGAAATTCGTGAGAGCAAAACGGTATCAATATACTTTGTTTATAACATTTCCCTAGTGTAAGGATCCCTATAATGGACAGAGGATCATTTTCGAGGGGTCAAGAATGATGGAGGAAGCTCCTGGACGCCAGCAGGATGGTACAACGCTCTCTCGAGGATGCTAACTCTATGGGCGTCTGGTCTTGATTAAAGCCACTGATGATGTCATGGGAACTTGTGTAGTAGGTGAAAACTCAGGGATGGCCATTCTGGTGGCCAGAACATTAGATGAAACTAAGGTGGAGTGCAAAGCATAAGGCAAAATCATGTTCAAGGCCATGCCAAAGGTAAGTTACCAGATACTCAACCAAATAGAGTGTAGTACTAAAACTGAGACAGAAGGGAAGTTAAGAAAGTAGGTGAAAAAAACAGAGATGGCCACTCTGGTGGCAACCAGAACATTAAATGAAATCAAGGTGGAGTCAAAAGTGTAAGGTAAAATCACGTGCAAGGCTGAGCCAAAGGTAAATTACTAAGTACTCAATCAAACAGGATGTAGTACTAGAATTGAGACAGAAGTGAGGTTAAGAAAGTAGGTGAAAACTTAAGGATGGCCAACCAGAACATTAAATGATACCAGGGTGGAGTGCAAAGTGTAGGGAAAATTATGCACAAGGCCAAAGATAAGTTACCAAGTACTCAAACAAACAGGATATGGTAAAAGAACATAAACAGAAGTGAGAAGCAAAGACTCACAATATTGAAATGAGAAACAATGCCTTACAAGAAGGCTAGGTCTCTAACAAGGCATAAATAGGATTAGACATGAAGCCCTATGAGGCAAATACTGTCAACCTAGGCATTTAACAGAAAATGGTGGTTAGACGACAAAGCATCTCCTATGACTATTCTTTATCCTGAAGTAAACCTATGTTGGATTTGTTGGCAGCAGGCATTTCCTTCCCCTACCTTTAGGCTAAATATTAGTAGTACTAGCCGAATGTTCATATTTAAAGCCTAGTTTAGTAAAAATTAAAAAACAAATTAGCACATGGGACATTACTTACAGTCCATGTGATGTGTCTCTTGTGCTACTGGCTCCTGGTTTACTTGAAATCTTTTATTCTCCAATCAACCCCTTACCCCTGCCACCATAATATTCCGGTGCAGTTGGGATAATAGAGCTAAGGGACCTGTCATATGCACTCATCAAAATTGCTGGCTATGCCTGCCCTTTCCACTCATCTCTTCTATTTACAGAAGTTGTACTACGTTCATATATGAAAAATGATCTATGAATGGACGAGGTGGACATTTCATTCATGTGATCATCCTCAATTCATTTTTCATTCCTCTTATCTCAAACCACTGCAGGAAAAAATCATAATGTAAATCGTAATGTAAAGATCAGAGGGGGGAACCAGTGAGAGCTGCAGTAGACCCAGAAAATCCAAATTACTGGGACTGTTGCTTTCAAAACAGACTTTGAAGGACCAGTTCTAGTGTTGAGATCGGTTTTCAGGGGCGTGGACACCAGAAAAGCTGAGAATTTACTCTTTTCTTTTACAGCACTTTATTTATTTATTTATTTTGGTGACAGGAATGCTTTAATACGATAGGCGCCAAAATCCCTCCATACTTTACTTTAAAACTAAAGCTCTTTTGTAAGCATTTCCAGCCATAGCATTGAAGAATCAAGTTTATTGTTACAGTCATGCCCTAATACTTAGCCGATTCCTCTAAAATGACTTCATGACATGGCTGAAGCGTTGAGCAGTTGTCAGTCCTTTACAGTCTCACCATACAAAGAACTGGGATAATCCCCCAAACACACTAATACAAATAACCAGAAGTATCATACAGAAGGAATATTCCTTACATAGAAAAACTCTGTGGAAAACGGCAGCCAACAGCAGCTGCTGATGAGCAGGAAAAATAAATACGTAGAATGAAGTGATATAGAGGGTGGATTTCTAGGGGTGGTAGACTTACATTTCAACACAGTGTGTGTCATAGTAAATATTGTTTTTTTTTTTTTTTCTGTTTGCTAGTTTATGAATTACATAATTCAGCTGTCACAGCTTCTATGACAGATCTGAACCCCATAATGAGATGTTAACTCCATAATGCTATAAAAAAATGAATAACACAGTTATGCATTAATTAAAAATCATGAAAAATACTTTAACTGTATCTTATGTAAGTGTTTGAATCCTTTTTATATATATATATACATACAGTGGGGTAAAAAAAGTATTTAGTCAGCCACCAATTGTGCAAGTTCTCCCACTTAAAAAGATGAGAGAGGCCTGTAATTGGCATCATAGGTAGACCTCAACTATGAGAGACAAAATGAGAAAAAAAATCCAGACAATCACATTGGCTGATTTGGAAAGAATTTATTTGCAAATTATGGTGGAAAATAAGTTTATCTTAGTTTCCGTTATAAAATTTTGCAAATAAGTAATTTTTCTTCATAACTGATGTGCTCTGATGAGGCTGCACTCATAAGCTGCACTAATGGACACTAATGAGGCTGCACTGATGGGCACTAATGAGGCTACATTGATGGGCACTGATGAGGCTGCACTGATGGACACTGATGAGGCTGCACTGATGTGCACTTATGAGGCTCCACTGATGAGCCTGTACTGATAGGCACTGATGAAAGGCACTGAGGGGCACTGATGGACACTGATGAGGCTGCACTGATGTGCACTTATGAGGCTCCACTGATGAGCCTGTACTGATAGGCACTGATGAAAGGCACTGAGGGGCACTGATGACCACTGTTGAGGAGGCTCTGATGAGGCTGCACTGATAAGGCAGTAGTGCTTGGCACTGAATATTAGCGTAATCCATGTACTGACAGTCTTCCCAGTTATTGGCTTTCCAGTATGTCTGTTTACATGCAATCAGCTGTGATAGGACACAGCTGATAACAGGGTAAAGGGCCGCTGTAATTGGCCCTTTATCTCAATTTGTGATCAGCTGTGTCCAAAAGACACAACGATCACAGGGCTCGCCCAATGCATACCCCAGGGGTGCAGAGGCTGCGAGGTTTTGGGATGACATCCATGGACACCTTCACAGAACTAGATGACTGCTCTGTAGCCATCTTTTGGCTATAGCACTATTGGGAAGTAGGCAAAGCAGAACTAAAGACCCAGTTTCAAAAACTGCAGACTCTTTATTACAGAAGAGATATGTAATGTCTCTTCTGCAATAAAAGAAACCTACCTGCCTACTCTTAGTCTTCTATGGAAAATCATAACCAGTTTATCTCGATGTATTATTCTAGTTCATTACTCTATACATTTTTTTGTGTTGCTATACTTAGACTGTTGTCCACCCACCTTTCTCTATCCTTTGGGTAAGTTTTTGGGCCCCTGAAGCCTCTGTGTCCACCTGGTGACCATCTGCTGGGTGCCCAGTCATATAGATCAGACTTTGTAAGCATGCATATACATTTATATATATTTTCAGTACATCATAACACTGTTAAATGTAAATTTGTGATTGTGATTAATTTGTTATTGTCTTATTTAGTTTATGCCCTCATCATTCATTTGGATCCAGAGGAAGCCAGATGCTGGCAAAATGTGTCGATCTTTATGCACTGGAAGAATAGAAAATATTGGGCTCTCGCCACTCTACTTTCTACATGATTGAGACAACTTCCAGAGATATTCAGATTGATGAGGAGGGGTTTGCGCCCAGGATGTATGGGGTGCTTTTTGTTGTTTAAAAATATTTTGGATGGATTTGTACAAGGAAATTTATTTTTTTATGGAATTCAATATATTGTGCTGTGCTGTGCTGATATAGGCCTAGATTGAGATAAGCTGGTTATGATTTTACAGCTTTTACCTTTTCTTCTGTATTTTTGGATGAGGCACAAGAAAGTTTTTCTATCTTCATTTAAGTAAGTGGTATAAATGAGTCTTTAAAGAAACACTGTTTTTCTCCTTTGTTATCTCAATGCTGCTAATTCCATGAAGCTGTTTACATGGACCCCAGAGATGGTGGTCCATATTTGGCAGTGTAGTCTCCACTGTCCCTTATAAGCCCAAGTGAAATGGTGACAAAGCAACAGCAAACTTGGAAGAAAGGGGCAGAAAATGATTAGGAACACATGAAAGGTACCCTTCATGGCAGGACTACCAGATTTTGTTTTTAAAAATTATTTTTAAAATTAAATTACCATATTAACAATTGGATGAGATTTTAGCAGTTGGGTTTTAAGACTTGTGTCAATGAGCTTTTGCTTTGCCATACAAGTCTATATGAATGCAAAAACCACTTGACGCAGGTCAAATTCAGAGAAAGAGGAGGTCAACTGCAGGACAAATTCACCTGTCAATGAATTCTAAATGATATCAAACTGATGTCAAACTGATGCCATCAACACATGCCCAACACACATCCACAATGGCCCTTATATATAAAAAAAAGTAAACCACGACAACACAAATCAATGAAATTACAAATATTCAACAGCACGATCTATGTTACAAACCTAAAAGTCAAAAAAGATTTTTTTAAATACCCTTCCTACTTTACTTCTATCCTGATCAAACATGATAATATTTTCAGGAAATGGAATAAAGTAGACTTTATTAAAAACAACTGTTGGTTTGTTCTGTTATATCAAATGTTTATTTTCTTTTATCCTTTAAAACCTATATGTACATATACTTTAATTAAATTATTTCTACATGCTGGCAGATCTTTAACAGCTGCCTAAAAAATAACTTTTCTTATTTTTAAAAGATAGTGAATTACTTTTTTTAACCTAAAATCAATGCAAAAGATTTTGTTTTTAGCAACCAACCAGGCAAACCAAAGCATTATGACATGAGTGTATCTATAGACACTAATGATAAACAGAGCAGTACTATATCATTAAGAATTGTATTATATTATGTTTTCAGGGAGACTTTTTGAGATATAGTGCACTTACAATACTATTTAATCTTAATTGAATCTCCTACATGGTTGCATGGTTAATAAACCCAAGTCAGGCAGACAATATACATTAGATGTAATATATCTTAAATTGACTAACATTATATTAATGACTGCTGTGATTGGTTAATTCTGGTTTATATTTAAGATGGTGCAAACCAGTCTGTGGGGGACAGCACAAGACATTGCTTGACTGTAGAAGCTGGAGCTGCTTTTTCACTATTAAGAACATTTTGGGGAGTGACAATTTTTTTTTTTATCTAAGCTGGTATTGGGCTAGCTCTAACTGACATCCGTACCTGCTGGGACAGTGGAGAAATTAATCCTCAAAAATCATAATTCAGGGGAAGGATTTTGCAAAGTCAGTTCACAAAGATGCTTTTTTTTTTTTTTTAGAGATTTATCACTGCTTGAAATGTTGATTGCCATGTTAAAAATATAAATATATTATTTCATTTGTGAAAAAAGTCATATTTTCAGTATAATAATGTATGATAAAATAGTGGGTTTTTGCCTACAGTAAAAATATTTGCTTTAAAAATATCTCTGCCCAAACTGGAATAGAGGAACAAATAATATTTTTACCGTTAAAATATAGAATAAATTTAAATAAATAAATACGGACCAAAAACCAATAAATCTAAAACAGAATTAAGAAAGTTATTCTGGTTAATAAAGGGTAAATAGCTATAAGTGTTACATCCTACTACACATCCTGAACCCATGTATTTTTTAAGTGTATGTAAAGGCAATAATTAAATAATGTATTATGTGATAGCTTACCCCCATTTCTAAATACTTTGCTCAGTCTTTTTATTGTAAGAAGGAAGGATTTGGGTTCCTAGAGCACTGGGCTGGCTTTTTATTAGGGCACAACCTACAATATATGTTAAAGATGGCTTGCACCTAAATGTGAGTGGGTGTGCTGTGCTAGAGAAGAGGTGTATGGGAAGGCTGGAAGAATATTTGAACAAATAGACTGGAGAGAGCATGAAATGGGGCAGACAAGTCAGACAGGGGTCAGACATTATTGGATGGTGGAAAGGGGGATGATGGGGGAGGGCTATGGCAGTTGATAATGAGTTTCCTATGTTACAAACAACCATTGGCAATTATAGTACAAAGTGCAAAAAGGCGACATTGAATTAAAATGTTCACCAATGTCAGATGTCTGCCAAGCAAAGTAGGAGTGTTGAAAGCTTTGGCTCATGAAGAGAACTATGATTTAATAGTATTGATATTAATATTTCTAGATTTTCTCTCTTGTGACAGGGTGACAAGGGTAAAACAAAAAAGTGGAGGTGTCTGTCTTTATGTGAGTAGGTAGTGAGAGGTCTTTGAGCCCCATTAATTGGAAACTGGTACCAGCAGTGTTTGATTCAATATTTATTGCTCACACAATAGTATAAAACTCTGTCAACACATTTCATGGCACACTAGCCACTTCCTCAGGACGATGCATTAAACACTGAGTCTGGTGAAACCCTCAAAATCCCTTGACACAGCACCATCCTGAGGAAGTGGGTAGTGTGCCACAAAAGGTGTTAATGGTGTTTAATACTACTCTGTGTGCAATAAATATTGAATTAATGAAGAATCTACTTCTCAGTTTCTCCTTCACATTCCGGCTCCCTGGCTGACTCCAATTTCCAATTTTTGGGACTCAAAGACTGTGAACACACCAGAATCCTGAGACCACAGAGCATAAGACCATCCAGATCACCCCACCGAGCACTGAGTGCAGCCTTTCTGTGCTCAGGGACAGTCATAATCCCTGAAGGCTTTCAGTCAAGGTTGTCTAATTCCACATTAAGGAGCTCAGCAACCTCACAGATGTACGTGCACCATTGCATTTGACCTTCTCTTTCTATATTTCATCCAATTATCTGCTAAACCATTAAACCATAAGGAACTTTCCCATGGCCTCTGAGTCCTTTTTTTCTTCTTATCTGCCAGCAGGGCAGATCACAGGGGATCCAGGAGGGAACAGCACAGAGGGGCCAGGAGAGAACAGCATAGTGGGGCCAGGAGAGAACTGTACAGGGGGCAGGAAGGAACAGCATAGGGGGCCAGGAGGGAACAGTATGGGGGGGGGCAGGAGGGAACAGCATAGGGGGGCCAGGAGAGAACTGTACAAGGGCAGGAGAGAACAGTATAGGGGGTCCAGGAGGGAACAGTACAGGGGGACCAGGAGAGAACAGCATATGGGGTCCAGGAGAGAACTGTACAGGGAGGCCAGGAGAGAACTGTACAGGGGATAGGAGGGACAAGTATAGGGGGGCCAGGAGCAAACAATAAGGTGGGAGGCAGGAGAGAACAGCATTGGGGGTCCATGAGAAAACTGTACAGGGGGCAGGAGGGAACAGTATAGGCGAGGAGGAGGGAACAGTACTGGGGGACCAGGAGGGAACAGTATTAGGGGCCAGGAGGGAACAGTACAGGGGGACTAGGGAGAGAACAGCATATGGGGGCAGGAGGGAACAGTATAGGGGGGCCAGGAGAGAACTGTACAGGGAGGCCAGGAGAGAACTGTACAGGGGGCAGGAGGGAACAGTATAGGGGGCAGGAGGGAACAGTACAGGGGGACCAAGAGGGAACAGTACAGGACGACCAGGAGGGAACAGTATTGGGTGCCAGGAGGGAACGGTACAGGGGGACCAGGAGGGAACGGTATAGAG